TGGGAATGTGGACAAATATTGAGATATAGGGCCAAGTCTCAGAGGCTGGGGACATCCTCCCCTCTTATCAGAAGAAAGGCAAGCATTGTTTGGTAGAATTACTCTTCCACGATGGGGGACAATACAAAGACAGCACTAGGACCCAGGGGTGGCACATGGAAGGAAGTCAAGGAAGGCTTGCTTTCTTATCTACCTTGGCAGAGTTGCCTGGTGGTCTCTCCAGGGATAATGTCACTACCCCTGAAGTTGAGGGGTAGAGCAGTTGAAAGGCTAAGCCTGTATAAGGGTTGAATTTTTTATTTTTAATCTTTTGTAGTAGGATACCAAAGAGCCACAAACCTCCTTACAAAATCTACAGCCCCCACAAATGAGGAAGGGGTACTCTGGACTCTATGCACCTCTCTAGATGTGAACTAGTTAACTATTTTAATTGACCAAAGTTGATGCAGAAGGAATGTAGAAGTGAGGGGGGACAGAAGAAAAGGAAATAGAAGAAGAAATGAAAACTTCCAACATGAGGAAAGAAAGAAATGGGACTTCTCTCCAGGCAGACACCCCACTTCCCTGAATCCCCAATCCAGGAGGATAGAGAAAAAAAAAAGAAAAGTTAAAGTGAGTCCTGTGCTTGACCTGGGCTCGCATGGAGCTCAAAACACATACATGGTCACATGCCTTACACCTGTAGTGTACGGACTGGCCCTGGGGTGGGCACTCGGGGTGTTCCTGAGGACACTGACCCAAATCACCTCAGAAGGTTGGGTTCTACTTGGATTTGGAGTTCGCAGTCTTACCTAAAGAACCTCACAGATCAAGGCTCCTGTCTTTCTTTCCTTCTCCAGCCACGTCACAGGTAGAAAGCTTCAGCTTCAGTGACGGCTTGGGGTGACTGCAGGCCAGCCCCTGTGATGGAGAAATTAAGGTCCCCACGGGCCAGGACCTGCCATTTGAACAGGGTTCTCATCGTGGCCATGTAGCTGGGCATTTATTCTTTTCTCCCCAGCAGGATCAGATCTCAGCATGTATCTGTACGTATCCCCACTGCCGAAAAAGCTGATCAATTTACTGCTGTGCTGATAATGAGTTAAGTCACGGGTTTGCATCTTTCCTGGGGGTCCTCCTAACATGTCGGGGAAGCTCAAGCTTTCAAAGGATGCTGTAAGGTTTGTTATAAGTCTTTCACAAAGGTAGTAATTTGATAGACTAGATGATCGATTTATGGCAAATGTGTGATTTTAAAAAAAAGAGAGTATAAATAATGAGAGTTTTGTGAGCCTGGGTCTTCAAACATGGTTACTTTAGAAGAGTATAAATGGCTGATGGCAAATTGTCTCATTTCGAATTTTTTTCAACACTTTCCTGCAACTGGAAAACAGCTGGAATTTGGGTCTAGTCACAGACACACCCTCTGCCTCAAATGGATGCTCGTGGACACCTGCCTGTCGCTGCCTGGACAGAGACCATTTAAGATGCTTGGAAGGAAGATGAGGCCTCTCAATCTGAGATACTTTTCTTCACTTTTCCTCAAGCCCAAGTATTCCCTTCCCCTTAAGGGAGAAATCTATCTTTTCAAAGAAAATGAAAAATAAAATTCCCAATTGAACTGGGTTTTCCTGAAAATGGTTTCCCTTATAGGATAAATCCTTTGTTTGAAAAATAATCCTTAGAACCTCAGTGGGAAGCTGACAGCATTTCCTGCTATACGCCTCATCTCCTCCCCTAGCCCGCCCATACACAGGGCACTCGACGCCTGATCTTTTGCAGAAGCTGACCCGTGTCCCTGGCAAGAAGGTCTTGAGTAGTGCACCCACACCTGTGTGCAGGACCGTAGTGACACACACATACACAAATTGCACCAGAGAGAAACTCACATACAGACAGTCACATCCAAGCCCATTCATGCGATCAGGTGTCACATCCAGACACAAATTACACACACAGTCAGAAAGAGCAGATGAGGAGACAGGAGGGACCAGGTGGCTATATAGAGAGAAGGTAAGCAGTTAGTAGGTGAGAAAGGCTGGAAGACAGGCAGGTAAAACAGAGTACATTGTGGGGAGGGAAGGCTGCTGAGCGGCTGGCCAAGTTCCCAAAGCATATTTATTTATGAAACAATTGAGTTCCCTGCTACACAGCTGACCATGGCTATACCAGCTCGGGGATTCTCTCCTTTCCTCCTCAGGGCTGTCCAGCACCAGCAGGTCACTGGGGTGACTTTGATTTGCCCCTGCCCACTCCGGCAGACTCCTGCCCTCCGGCGTTCACAACACCGGCTCACTTCTTCACCCCAGCACCTGCAGTGACATGTGCTCAGATGAGCCTGAGGCACCGGAGTGGATGTGTTTCATCTCTGTTTGGGTGCTAGCCACTAAGACGGCTGTTTTGGGATTCATGGCCTTGAGTATCAAGAGGAAGAAGAGGAACATGGAAAGAGTCGAGAGTTCTCCATTAATTTACACAATATCATACAAACTTGAGCTCATGGGACATGGAGGTGCTCTCTCTGAATATGACCCATTTTCTTTCATCTGTACAGAGGTCACCCCTATCAAAGGGGTGAATGTCCAGTGACAAAGGACAGCTTCCAGGATGGGAGTCAAGGTCCTGTTTGTTATACACATTTGCACAACAGCGACCAGAGTCAACATTCCTTCTCCCTCCTGAACCGTGTGTTTCCCCTCTTGTCTCATGGCTTTTGTGCCCAACTGTGTCTTGAACTTCCAAAATGAGAGGACTAAATCCTGTGGAGTCTCAGAACTATAATGTGAAGAACCACAGGGTCCTCTGGCCCAGTGGTTTCATTCTTGATTCTGCCCTCTGGGAATTTCAGCTGTACCCGAAATAACAGAAGAAATGCAACACAAACAATAAAACCCCACACTCAGGAAACATCCACCACATGCACACACTCACACTCCAGGGATCCGTAGCTGCAGTACTGGTGCCCATTCAGGCCGGCCCTTCTCGAAACTTCCTGGGTCTCTGGGCCTGTATCTGGGGCCATGAAACCACTACAGTGATGGAAAGACAACAGTCATAATGCAATGTTTCCATGTAAAGGGTGGAAAAGAAAAAAAGGAAACCATCTGAAGAGCACGCACGCACACACACACACACACATCACAGCATTACTCCAAGGCTCCGATCTGCCCAGGGAGTGCGGGTGGGGTTGGGGACAGGGTGGCCTTTTGCGTAACTGGGTGTAAGGCAGCTGGAAGGTAAGATGGGTTTTCTGAGCATCCACTGAAGTATCCTTTTATCGGTGCGGATCTTGTCTCTCACCATCTCTCCCCTTCCCACCTCTTGCACTTTGTCCAAAAACTTGGCAGCAAAGAGAAAACTTCCTTCTCAGTTTGTTTTCTCTTCCACTCTTGCATGTTGCTGGTGGGCCAGGAAGGAAATTTGGACAGGAAGAGCAGGAGAAGTGATTCTGAGAATGGCCTCGATGATTTGGTTACATTCTAGGAACTAAGGGCTTTGTTTCCTGGTGATATGACTGGCGGGGTGGCTCCTCTCCTGTCGGCCCGGTGGGTGGCAGTTCCTTCTCTACATCAGTGACACTTCAGACCACTGCCATTGTCCCTTCACCACCCTGTCCTCATGAGTGATGGAAATCAAGATGCTACTGCAAGTGGTGGTCGCTTTGTCTTCAAGAAACCATGAAGCTGAAAGTCAAGAATTGATGGAAGAGCCACAGGATGGGAACATTTTCCCCACCTCGGTGATGAGGCAACACAAAGTCCAGTAAGATGCAGGCGCCTGAGGCAACTCAGCTCTGCCTTGGCACTGGCATCATTTTGATTTAGTTTTGTTTTATATATGTATATTATATATATATTTATATATATATATATATATGTGTGTGCATGTGTGTGTGTGTGCGTGTGTGTGTGTGTGTGTGTGTGTGTGTAACCACAGGGTCCTCTGGCCCAGTGGTTTCATTCTTGATTCTGCCCTCTGGGAATTTCAGCTGTACCCGAAATAACAGAAGAAATGCAACACAAACAATAAAACCCCACACTCAGGAAACATCCACCACATGCACACACTCACACTCCAGGGATCCGTAGCTGCAGTACTGGTGCCCATTCAGGCCGGCCCTTCTCGAAACTTCCTGGGTCTCTGGGCCTGTATCTGGGGCCATGAAACCACTACAGTGATGGAAAGACAACAGTCATAATGCAATGTTTCCATGTAAAGGGTGGAAAAGAAAAAAAGGAAACCATCTGAAGAGCACGCACGCACACACACACACACACATCACAGCATTACTCCAAGGCTCCGATCTGCCCAGGGAGTGCGGGTGGGGTTGGGGACAGGGTGGCCTTTTGCGTAACTGGGTGTAAGGCAGCTGGAAGGTAAGATGGGTTTTCTGAGCATCCACTGAAGTATCCTTTTATCGGTGCGGATCTTGTCTCTCACCATCTCTCCCCTTCCCACCTCTTGCACTTTGTCCAAAAACTTGGCAGCAAAGAGAAAACTTCCTTCTCAGTTTGTTTTCTCTTCCACTCTTGCATGTTGCTGGTGGGCCAGGAAGGAAATTTGGACAGGAAGAGCAGGAGAAGTGATTCTGAGAATGGCCTCGATGATTTGGTTACATTCTAGGAACTAAGGGCTTTGTTTCCTGGTGATATGACTGGCGGGGTGGCTCCTCTCCTGTCGGCCCGGTGGGTGGCAGTTCCTTCTCTACATCAGTGACACTTCAGACCACTGCCATTGTCCCTTCACCACCCTGTCCTCATGAGTGATGGAAATCAAGATGCTACTGCAAGTGGTGGTCGCTTTGTCTTCAAGAAACCATGAAGCTGAAAGTCAAGAATTGATGGAAGAGCCACAGGATGGGAACATTTTCCCCACCTCGGTGATGAGGCAACACAAAGTCCAGTAAGATGCAGGCGCCTGAGGCAACTCAGCTCTGCCTTGGCACTGGCATCATTTTGATTTAGTTTTGTTTTATATATGTATATTATATATATATTTATATATATATATATATATGTGTGTGCATGTGTGTGTGTGTGCGTGTGTGTGTGTGTGTGTGTGTGTGTGTAGGGTTTGTTTTTTAGCACACTGTCCCATTTTCGGGTCTGGATTTAGGGCAGTTGGTCCTCGGGACAGGTTGGACAGAAGGGGCCAAGGTACAGAAGAATCCCGAGATTAGTGTGAGGCCCAGGCCTCCCCAAGCACAGAACATGGACCATCCGTAGCCATGGCTGATGTCATCGGGGAGTCCATACAGGTAGCGTGGGTAGCGCGACAGCTCGAAGTTGATCCCAGCCACACAGGTGCACAGTGAAATGATGCAGAAGGTTCCTGGAGCACAGGGAAAAAATATGGGGCAGGATCATGGGGACAGGAAGGGAAGGAAAGAGGAAAGGGAGAGAGAAAGAGAAGTTACTATTAGGACATTTCCAATTTTCTTGAGTAGGGAAAATGAGACGATTCAGGTGAGAGCAGGCTGTTAGCAGGGTCAGTATCTAGGAATATCTATGAGAACAGATTGTGCTCAGGGAACATCACTTCCGCCCTCCCCAATAATTGTCCCATCTTGGACAAACTCAGAAAGTCTTTCCTTTGGGAAAATACTACATAAATATGTTGTCAGGATTTCATGTAGGCTGGAGTGAGGCAGGAGAGTACACAGCTCATTTTTCTACAGCATTTTAATGATATTCTTTCTCTTTCTTTGGAGAACTTTGCTACTTATTTAAAGAGAAAAACACCCTTTCCCCCTATATATGGCATCTTATGCAATATTAGGTTTTCCTTTAATCTGTTCACCAATAATTTATCTAAATACTGGAAATCTTTTCTCTTTTCCTATCAGACATTTCACGGAACACTAGCCCCGCAAGATGCTCCTTTACCACATAGAAGGGAGCTGAAAGACTGAGAAACCTGGACTTCTGGCCTAGGAAGGTTTATAATGCACATCACCATCAGTTAACTTGTCCATTTTACAAGCTCATTTGATAATGGGAACTTCTCTCTAAAAGAGTGTAGAGGACAGTAAAGAGGTAGACCAGTCAGAAAGCTGCTGTGGTCACTTAGAAACAGGAAAAGTGTGGTCCGGCAGGAGGAGAGCTGGGAGCTCTTAATGGCTGGTAGAGACAGCTCCTGATGACTGGAAGTGAAGAGTCAGGGATGACCTGGGCACAGTGGCAGTGTAACTAAATTTCATGTGTGTGTGTTAAGTATTATATGTGCATGTGTATGCATTTGTGCACTTGCATGTGTACACATGTGTACATGTATATTGTTTGTGTGTGTACATGTATGTATGTGCAATAGAAATAGCATACCCACACACACACACACACAACACCATCATTACTAGTAAAAACAGTGGTCCCAAACCTGTGGGAGCTACAAAGCACCATGATTCCCCACTGTTGTGCTCTAGGGCTCAGGGTGAATTCTCTGATGGTCCCAGGGTGACTTAGGTCAGCTCAGACTTCTTGAACCAGATCCTCTTGGGGAAAGAGCCTAGGAATCTTTAGTTTTGGACATCCTCAGATGACATCTGTCAATCAGCCTGTTTGAGCCTTTGCATCAAGGCAGAGGTATGCTGTGTGACCTGGAGACATAGTTCTTGGTGGGGAAGATGCAAAGGTGGGAAGAGAAGGAAGGAGGGACCCAATGGACCCCTGCCAAGGAGAGAACACTGCCTGGGGGTGGGAGAGTAAAAGTTGACATTAGTTCTAATAACCCAAATTCCAACAAACCGAAGCTGGCCTGCTGGTGCTTCAAATACTGTAGCTAGGCTTTTTCATGCTGATTTGAGAACCTGGGTGTGCAGTGGTAGAATTTACTGAATTTTACATTTAGGACAAGAAGAGTATGTAGGGTCTGTGTAGGGAGGGACAGTGTGGTGAGTTCAAACTCCAGCTGCTCTTGCAATGTTCAAGATGATTGGAAACATTGACTTGGAACCTGCTAAAAAGCTCTGAGCTAGAGAGATGAACTCGGTCATAATCTTATCAACTGAATTCTGGGTGTGACTGAGGTCGCCCAATGTCTTTATATAAATGGTATCTATGTAGGATAGTTTAAAACTTTTTTTTTAATATTTTTTAAAAATTCATTTTCTTTTATACATTTAATCACATTACTTAGTTTACAAAGTGCATATTTCAACAGGTGAACATTTCTCCCTAGTCCAGTTGATACAACTATAAAATATCTTCAACAGATAATACCACATTTCTTTGTCCCATTAATGCTTTGCTTCTCTATTTTTCTTCTAAATGTCCTTCCTCAGACCCTACCCTTTCACACGGATAGTTTTTGTTTTGTTTTGTTTTTGTTAAGAGCCACATATTTTTAAGAATTATTTTAACTTTATTTATTTATTTATTTAAATTTGACCAGAGAAGGATAGAGTGAGAGGGAGAAAAAAGAGGGAAAGTGAGAAAGCAAGCCACCAGATCTGGGACTCAAACCATGATTGCCCATGTGGGAGTCCAGCACTTTAACCACCACACCACCTGCCAGCCCCAGTACATAGGATACTTTTTAAATAATGGAGACATTCTTCTCATCAAATGCTACCCTAGCCTCCTAATTAAGTCTAATGATTTGCTCCAGCAGAGGTCAACTCCAAGGAAGATCTGGTCTTCTCAAGCTACCAGCAGCTGAGAAAGCTTGGTTGGTGTATACTGTTTTCATGACACAGTCTTTGAGCAGGGTGGACAAGACACAAAGGATGTGGTTGATAAATTGTGAATGAAGACATAAGGTCCATGTGGATCTAATTACCGACTTGAAATAGCCCAGCTTCTTGAAAACATACATCTTGTTATGTGATGTTAATGGAGGTACTAGGGTCCTCCCACCTCCACTACTTGTCACTTGTTCTGTGACTTTGGAAATGTTTAAAATTTCTTTTGTCTGTTAGCTTTTCTCAATATTCCCACAGATAGAAAAGCTCTTTTATGGCTCCTACTATTAAATGGTCCTTTAAGCAGGCCATCTGTGCAACTTGACAGGAAATATCCCCCTGACAAAAAAGGGAGGAGTTGGAACCTGGTTTCCACACATGCATATGCTGCTGTTTTTGGTTATGAGTGAGGATTTATATTTGTATGTACTTCTCCACTTATAAATTCAAATTTGAAAAAGCATATTAATAATTAGAAATGGATCCATGCAGACACAGAGTAGGCCCTCGGCAAATGGACTGGATGACTAATGTGTTGCCTTTTTACTCCACACCATGCTCTGACATTTTAACCATGGACTTTGACAAACATGGACTGAGTCCTGGGGAGTAGGGGTAGCGGGGAGGCAGATGGGCAAGGACCCTGCCTGAACAGGAGGAGGGTGGAGGGTGATGGATCTGACCCCATATCTCTGGCTGTGGACTGGTAGTTGACCGAGGAGTGTGGGGTACAGAACTCCCCTCCATCAACTCACTGGGATTAGGTGGGGGCCTCCAAATACAAATTTTCAATGGTGCTGCTGGAAAAGATGTCACAGTTACAGCATGGGAAATTGCAGCCTCCCCCATTCACCCAAGTGCAAGTGGCACAGCTGGGAGAGCTACATTAGGGGCTTCTGTTCAGGAAGGAATCTACAACGCAGTCCACCATCTAGGCATATGAAGTCCACTCTATCCTGAAGTAGCAGAGCATGGCCTCTGGGGCTTGGTCTTTAGATTCTGTCATTTTATTTCTCATGAAGATTTATTGATAGAGAAGTGAGGATCCAAGAAAGGCAATAGGAATAATGCATAGTCATATCTTCTCAGTAAAGCTCCCCATGGATTGGAGTTTGGGCCCAGTTTCAGTCAGACTCCCATAATAATTATAGTCATAGTGTAGCAATTAAATGAAAAGGACTCTGCCCTCCAGCCCTTCCCTTTGGAGTGAGGCTCTGCCATGTACTCCCAATGCTGACTGTGAATATAGCCAAGCGTAACTCTGGCCAGGGCAGTAGTGACAGTAGCAGTGGTGGCTGGCGGCAAGCAATAGCAGGTGTGTGGGGGAGAGACAGGTTAACAGGGATGGGGTGGAGAGAGGAAGGAGAAATGCCTGTGGTGGTGGGCTCCATGCTCTGCAGAATAGCCAATTTGCCATCATTGTTGAGTGATGTTTGGACCAAGCATGAAATGCCAGGGAAATAAAAAGAAGCAGACACGATCCCAGTCCTTTAAATCTTAAGTCTAAAATAAAAAGCTAAAACAAAAACAAAAACAAAAAACAAAAAACAAAAAAATGTATAACCTAGTAGGGGACAGTTAATGGTTTGTGCTTTAAATAAACGGTCATTATTATTGCAAAAAAAGTTGGAGGATGAAGAGAAAATAGCAACAGACTGGGAATTTAAGAGAGCCAAGTTTATTATCTGAATCTTTGGCCTCCTCATTTGTAAAATCAGGGAACCAAGATAAGGAACTGTAAGGTCTCTCCCAAGTCTAATAGTCTCTAGGGAAACAAAGAGTAATACTCGATAGTAAGTGCTGAGAGAAACTCTCTGATACAGAGAGAGATGCAGGATCAGACCAAGTTTCCTATGGGATGCAGAGTTTGGAATGTTGAACAGGATTTCTGCTGGAAATAAACAGAAGGGGGCTTCATCCATCCAGAGAATATCCTTTCTTCCCTGTCACTGCCCCCCTGTCCTGGGGCTCTGTGTCTGCAACCAGATAGCATGGCATGTCCACGTACTCCTCACTGCACTGCAAGCTGCCAGAATGCTTGCTGCTGTCATTGGGTCAAGCTTCCATCATTTCTCACAGGAACCACCACTGTCCTGCCTCCTATTTTTGCCCTATACAGTAGTCAGTGATATATGTATACACATATGTGTGTGTGTGTGTGTGTGAAATATATATAGAGAGACAGAGTCTCACCATCATCCTCCTGCCCCAGCCTCCCAGCTGAGATTATAGCAGGGTCTGCATGTGATATTTGAAAAATCAGATTATGATTCTCTCCTGTTCTAAACCTTGCAATAGCTCCCAGTGGCTCAGAATACAACCCAAACTCCTATGTCCTGCCTGTACAGCCTTACTTGAGTGGAGCCCACTACCTATCTGACCTCATTGCTCATCTTGACCCCCACACTACCTACACTTCAGCCATTCAATAGAGCTTTCTGAATTCCAAGATAGCTAAGCAGATTCCATCTCAGAGCCTTTGCACTTGCTATTTCTCTGCCTGTGATGGTCTTCTCCTAGCCCTTCTTGGATCTCAACTCAAATGTCATACTCTCTGAGAGATCCCCAGTGGTTTTCAAACCAGGTTGGCTCCATAGGGGTGTCTCAGGAGCAGTCACTGGGAAAGAGGAGGGAGTAGAAGGGACTCCCAACC